GGGGTGAGAGGCACAGTTCTGTGCTAGTTCACCTCCTGCCTTCGAGGCTATCCCAATCAATCTTGATAGAGAGCAAGTGGTCCAGTCCATGCCCCCTGCCCTATGAGGTGTCACAGGACTTGGTGCTCTTTCAGCTTCTTTTTAATATCTACATAAGACACTGGGTGAGATCATCCCATCACCATGGAATGAGGTATCATCAGTATGCAGATGATACCAGGTTGTACATCTCTATCCCTGGTGAACTAAGTAATGTTGTGGTCATCTTCTTGCAGTGCTGGAGTCTGTGGGGGCCAGAATGGGGAACAACAGGCTTCAGCTGAACTTTGGTAAGATGGAGTGGCTATGGATAGGGGCCTCTTCTATATCTGGGAGTTTACCACCTTTGGTTCTGGATAGGGTGGACTATCCCAAATGACCCAGTGTGTAGCCTGGGGCTCCTATTTCTCTCACTCACCTGGAATTATGTATGTTGACTGGTGTCTACTATAGCTGGGAATAATGGGAGTTATACTCTAACACAGGCATGTCAAACTGCCAGCCCGCAGGCCGGATGCATCATACTAAAACCGCGCCCACCCCATTGCCGGCAATGGGGAAAAAGTCGCAATATATCGCACGACGTCACGTGACGTCGCGAGTTTGACATGCCTGCTCTAACATATCCAGAAGAGAAGGATGATTGCAATATTTAGTTAACATGTGACTAGAGTGAAAAATACATCATTCATTTGGGAGATATCTGAAGCTATAATTGAATGATCTTAATTTCTTTAGACAATTAATAAAAACTAAATATGCCAGTGCTCAGTGCTTTACTCCTAAAAGTTCAATTAGCATTGATTTTAAAAGAATTGCACTTATAAGAAAAAAAAACATTTTACACAACTTTTTTTTTTGTTCTTGCAACATCAGTACTATAAGTAAATATATTTACAATGCTTTCAGTTAAAAGGAAGGGAAATCAGTGTAAGATTCTCCTTGGAGACTAAACTGAAATGAAACATAATGGAGGTAATTCAGGTATAAGCAAACAAATGATATTTTACTGTTACATTTTAATTGAATTTGCATCCCATATTGAATGATAAAATATCAATTGTGAGAATTAAAACAATTAAATTAACAATTAAAAGAGCCCTGGTTGTGCAGTGGTTAGAATGCAGTATTGCAGGCAAATTCTGCCCACAGAGTTCAATCCTGAGGGGCTCAAGGTTGACTCAGCCTTCCATTCTTCTGAGGTTGGTAAAATGAGGACCCAGATTGTTGGGGGCAATAGGCTGAGAGAGTGCTACTCTATGGGGTGGTCTATAAGTCTAAGTGCTATTGCTACTGCTAAATTGGAAATTGACATGCACAAACAAAACAATTGCTACCATCATGTTTTATTTTAAAAAAGGTTTTTAGAATCTACTTAAGCTCCAGAGTATTTTTACAAAATAAAAATAGTTGAAGGCTGCAACAGTGCTTTGTTGCCATGTATATCCCCCAATCAGAAAAATAGATAAGAGCTGAGATGTATAATTACTATAATAAACTGGGACTCTCCTTGAAGATCACCCAGAAACCAACTAATACAAAAATATGGTCACCCACATATCCTCCACTCTGCAGGGAGTAGATTGGAGAGAAGGAGATTTCAAGCGAGTTAGCTGGTTGCTTTTCTATACCTCACATTGTGACTGTGCTGGCAATAGGAAAAGATGAAGCAAAAGAGAGATTGCCTACAGAAATTACTTGCTATTTCTCTTCCTATCCCCCCTCACAGAGTGGAGAGATTGGAAAGATTGGAGAGAAAGAGATTTTAAGAGAATGCTGTAAGCCAGTGGTGGCGAACCTACGGCACGCGTGCCAGAGGCGGGACGCAGAGCCCTCTCTGTGGGCATGCACCATCGCCCCAGCACACATGGTCTCTAAAAGTTCGCCATCACTGGCCTAAGGCCAGCCAGCCATTGGGGAGCCCACCATCCCACCCGCCAGAGACCCCCTGGATCTCTCCCAATCCTGCCCGGCTCCCACAGATGTCCCTCCCCATAAGCAACATCGAGGTGGCCACGCCCACCCTGGCCATGCCCACCCAATCTGCCAAGACTACTGCAGCCACACCCATCCAGTAGCCACGCCCACCCAGTCTGCCAAGCCCACTATAGCTGTGCCTGCCGAGTGGGCCACACCCACCTGGCTCCTGGCGATACATAAGTGGGTTTTGGGTTGCAGTTTGGGCACTCTGTCTCTAAAAGGTTTGCCATCACTGCTGTAAGCTCTTTGCTTAGTGTACAGTGGCTCCCAGCCTTGGGCTGCAGTGTAATCACGTTGCTTTCTATGTGTACAAAACAGTAAGTAGCACTCCAGTATTTCAAAGGGAAGGGGAATGGTTAGGAGGCAAACAAAAGCCAAAGGTGTGAAACTGAGTAATCTGTTGCTTTCAACTGTGCTTTCCAGTTGAAAGCACAGTTACAGTCATGTGATTTGCCACTTAGTTACTACTTTGCTTGGTGGCAGAGTTGTCATGCCCAATTATGATTGGTAAATAAGGACTACATTCCTCATTTGGTGTATTCCAGATGAGTTAGTTCCATCATTCTCAGTAGCATAACCAGCTATAATTCCACCTACCTGGAGAGGTCTGGTTTGGGGAGAAAGACTGAACTAAGCTCTCATTCTAAGACAGAGTTACTTGCTATGCATCTGTGAGAGGTTGTCTTTTAGTATATGGAACATACAATGAGCAGAACTCTTTGATGCTTTAAAACTGATAGCAATAAGGGATATAATCTCATTCTTTTTAATGGTCAGTCACTAAACCTATGTTAGCTCTGAATTTTCTTACAGGGGTCTACAAAACATTTCTAACTGTTTAGCAGGAACAGCACAAAAACATTTTTTATTCAATTATGTCACTTAAATTAAAAAAAGCTTTAACTAAAGTAAATTAGCATTAACTCTAATTCCACTCTCCATATATGTACGGTACAAGTTAGCGCTCTCTCTCCTGCTTCCTGAGCTCTGTCATGACTGTTTTTAGCTCTGTAGTGATGTAGTGATGGTAAGACAAAATCTACATAAATTGAAACCCTAACTGAGCAGAGAGTTCTAACATGGAAGAAAGCACTAACCTCACACCTAACTGCCAATTGTAGTAATCCATTAGTTCTGTTTTCCTTGTATTAATGTAAATTTCATCTTTTAAGATTAGAAAAATTGTATAACTGCTTTCTTTAGAAAATTTTAGAAAAAATTATACTACTCTGTAGAATTGAACAAGATGTTCCTTTATATTTTTTCTTGGAAAATATCAAAAAAATATTCTAAATTAATTAGTAATCATTCATTGGCTAGTAATTATGAAACTTGTACCAGACAGTTCGGGTTTTTTAGTATAATTCAGATGAACATTTCTGATGGATAGATTTTGTTAAAGCACATCAACTCCTTGGCCTGGATTTTTCTTGTTGCCACAGCTCCACTGTTGCTTGGTGACTAACAAAGTCAGCTTGATGGTTACAATGAATAAGGTGGCAAAAACAATGCTGTGAGGATTTTTCTCACTGGTTTTGCATTTATTGGAAAGTCAGTCAGATTTGATTGATATTTTATATCCACTTTCAGAATTTTGACATGCATATTCTGAAAATGGGGAAAGAGCTTGCAGCCACTCTGAAGTTGGGAAATATCTATGGTACATTTATTGTGCATAGTGTAATAGTCTTACTGGTTGCTGACTTGGAGGAGAAGCGAAATATCTTCAACAAAAACAACGAAAGTCCAATTGCCTTTTGAAAAAGCAGCTTTGGATTAACTGGTGGAGCTTCACTTTGACTGGCATTATTGGAGGAATGCTCAAATAGATATTGCTATAGGCAACAACATCTTTCAAGTTGAGAGAACCACAAGAATGAAAAACTCAGTAGAATCTGATCTCATAAGAGTTAATAAATCAGCCACCTAGATTGTGTTTTTTACTGCTTAACTGATATCACATGGGTCATCCAATATTCTTGAGAGTTATCACTTAACTTTAACAGTAGGACTTACTTTCTTTCTTTCTTTCTTTCTTTCTTTCTTTCTTTCTTTCTTTCTTTCTTTCTTTCTTTCTTTCTTTCTTTCTTTCTTTCTTTCTTTCTTTCTTGTCCCCCCATGGCAACCGCAATGCTGATGCGGCCCTCAGTGAAATTGAGTTTGATACCCCTGATCTATAGTTTCTACCTCCGCTACAAACTGTAGTGTAGGTAGGAGACTAGGACTGAGAACATTTCAGTCCATTCTCAACTATTGAAGTTATTTGAGTAACTTTGGGTCAGCCCTCTCTCTTAACCCAGTCTATTACACAAAGTTATTGTGAGGTAAAATTAGAGGAGACAATGCTGTATATCATATCTTGAAAATGGGATTAAAAATCAAATAAGCAATGAAATTAAAGGAGGTATATAGTCCTTTAAAACACATGCTCTAATTTATAATGTATATGTTAATCTTTAAGGCAGTCTAGTGCTCTCTCAGGATTTTACTATGACTCGCCCTTTGAAAAGACAAAAAAAATGTGGTCCAAAGAATAATTTATTGGCATTCCTCTAATCTATTTGCGTTCACTTAGACTTGGCAGCTATAAATCTCACTTCCTGGCTGTGGAACTGGTGTTAAATGTCATAGATGTTTCCTACAAATCTCTTTCTGATTTTCCTCTCCCCAGTCTTCATTTCTGAATGCCATTACCTTTGGACACCCAATCTGGCTGGATCGTACTTCAATCTTATTTGATCCATGACAGTACCATCACTCTTTCAAGCTAGCACACATTGGTATATTAATAGTGATCGGAAGCTTATGAGGAATAAGAATAATGCTTATGAAGCACTATGAATTTTTACATAAATGCATATTATAACTATTCTAATATTACCACCAATAGACAACTTTCATAATACACTGACTTCTTATGTGCAACATCTTATTGCTCAGAAATCTTGTTTACATAACATTTTTCTATTTTTATCTTCCAGGATTTGGCAGAACCACACCAATTACAAGACCAGGCAAACTTTTTCTGATATTTTATGGCCTTATTGGCTGTGCAGCGACCATCTTATTCTTCAACTTATTCCTGGAGCGTCTGATCACAGTCATAGGATATGTTATGGGGATTTACCATAAGAGGAAGCTAAAGCAAAAACTTCCTGGAGTTGACCAGCAGGCTGAGATTGATGAAGTAGGCCTCTTAGATGGATGGAAACCCTCTGTGTATTATGTCATGCTTATCTTGTGTTTGGTATCAGTCATTGTTTCCTGTAGTGCCTCTGCTATGTTCTCAGCAACAGAAGGATGGAGTTACTCTGATTCCCTTTATTATTGCTTTGTGTCCTTCAGTACTATTGGTTTTGGTGATATGGTGAGTGGTTGGAATCCATACTACAAAAATCAACATTTTTACCGGTTTGGCAATGGTGTGGTTATATTCATGGGGATATGTTTTATCTATTCCTTATTTAATGTGATCTCCATTATTATCAAACAATTCTTAAACTGGATATTAAAGAAAATGGGCAGCGCACATCGTAAGTGCCGAAGAAGACTCTTGAGGCCACAGAAAAATGTTGTGAGGCCAGGGACTGTGTGGACCCAGCGCAACATATCAATTGAGTCAGATGGTGTCCTTGACAGTGAGACAGAAGGACCCAGAATATCTGGTGAAACGTTCTCCATGAAAGAACTCTTAGCCTCTAACAAAGTATCACTTGGTGTCATACAAAAACAATTGCCTGAAATTCCTTTTCGCAGACCAACAAGCTCATCTATGCAAAATGGATTTGCAGGTGGTGTAGGTGCTTTGGGAATTATGAGCAATAGGTTGGCAGAGACAAGCACTGATAGTAAACATTAATGACTGGAATATGTCAGTAAGTATGGGAAGATAAAGATCAAATCACAAAGACAGTTAACTGAACAAGGTTAGTTGCTGTCAGTTTTGTTGCTGGCAGTTAATATGGTGTTGCATTTTGCACATAATGGTCTGTTCTTGCTCAATAGCCCCTGCTGAAGACAATTCAGTGGTATCATTTTATGTAGCCACACTTAAAAGCTTCAGCGATATGTGTCAAAAGCACGAGAAAGTAAACAAAACACCCCACAGACTAAATTTGCTTCATTAGTAATTTAGTTTTAAAAGCTGCTGTGTTATAGCTTATCGGCTTCAGCACAGAGTACAAGTGTTGGTGTGAAAAAGACGTCTCCTTGAGCCCATTTGGGACCTTCTCCATCCCATATCACTGAAATAGCTGCTTCCATTGACTGCTTACCCTGCTTGTCATCCTTCTTTTGATTAACTGCTTATCTATCCTCATTGCTCTAGCCCAAAGTTCTAGGATGGCAATCGAGAAGGTTGTGCAGCAGGCTAGAAGTCCCTATATCAAACGTGTTTTTACATTAGATGGCATGTACAAACCATGATTTTCTCTGTATAGGTCAAAAGACTACTCATGGGATCAACTAGCAGTGTGAAATTAATTTCCCTTTCAGCTAAAAAAATAATTGTTCAAAGGCTAAGCTATTATTCTTTTCATTTATGTCACAGGAAAACAGTTTATACACACACACACACACACACACACACACACACACCACAAAAGAATAGTTGTGTTAGGAGGTGCAGTCAAGAATCAGACAAATCATAGAATGAATTCTTATGAATGCTCAGAAACAAACATTTGCTTTTGAGTTTATATGTGAAAAGTTCTTCAGAGATTTGTTGCAGGAAATCTTCATCTGCCAGGATTATTTGTCATTTCTGCACACATCAGAATTCTGCACTGTGTAATGTGTTTGCAAGATTTAATCATTAGATTGATATGGAATGGCATGTTAGTGCATAAAAACTTTGTTTTGCCCATATGATTAGGACCAGGTGTTTCTAATGGCAAAATTCTTCCACTAGAAATAGTGAAATAAAGTTAGGTTAAACCCATTAGAACCATAAAACATCTTAGCTTTCAAAATGTATCTTCTAATCTCCAGTTTCAAAGCCTGATCTAATTTTTTTATTATTACTGATGGACTGAACTCTTTGGAAATGTTGCTACCCAACAGCAACTGTCTACAATTAGGCACTTATGATTAGGCACTTTGTTTTATGGATGTTTTGGTTTAAGGAAATGTTTTATGACATTTTGTATTATGTCATAAACTATGATAATGTTTATGTCATAAAATATTTATAAATGTTGCTAAATTTCAATTCCATGGGAATCATGGACCCCATATTTTTGATGCATTCTCCAATTTGAGATAACTTAAATGAATTTGAAAAGTAAATTATAAAGGGCAAGTAAATTCAGTGCTGAATTAATTTAGGGAACAACATGTCAAGAGCTTATCATGTAAGTATCCATGGACATGAAATGCTGGGCAAGTACCATTTTAACATATGAATATCTATATTGTCCAGCCTTTTTCGTATAGTAGTTCTTGATGATGATAATGACAGAGCTGTCATGAAAATTCCTCATTCTGCTAAATAAAATCACCCAAGTGCTCAATATGACATGTGAGAACTGTTTTAATGATGAATTAAACAAGGAAACTAGAAATCAAATGGATCAATAATGACTGGAGAACAGCATTTTACATTAAATATTGAAATAATTAAATTAAATAGAAGGGAAAGAGGTTGTAAAAATAAGAGTCGCATTTTAGCTTCATTTATTCCTGTTCAAAGTTGTTAAAATTGATAATGTTTATATGGCATAACTTAGGCATAGATAGATATGTTAAAATCCAATATAAAAAGAATTAATAAAAGCCTTTGCTGTCATTTGCACCGAACAATGGCTTCTATGCTCATAAAGCAAGGGAATTTATTTTTAAAATGCACTAGCATTTCTATAGGAAAAAAATCAGTAGAAAAGCAAATGAAACCCATTATTTTTCAGCACTAAAGCATAATGATCAAAATGCCACACTACTGCTATGCCACCATAGCCAGCTATTCTAACATGGATGTTAAAATTTAAGAAAGGGAGAGAATAATGAAACCTCTTAACACAAGAATGGAGATGTTAAGAACACTTCATCTATCAAATTATTTCACAGCATTCTATTCTGGAAGCAACAAAAGCATGGGCCCACAATGTAACAGATAGTCTCCACCTTTCTCCTTCTCCCAGTCCCCTGAGTTTTACAGATCCCATTCCACCTTTTTGCCATAGTATAGGGCAGGGGTGTGAAACTGCCGGCCCACGGGCCGGATGCATCATAGCAAACTCGCGCCCACCCCATTGCCGGCAATGGCAAAAAAGTTGATTGTCGCGACACATGTGACGTTACAAGTTTGACACCCCTGGTATAGGGGCTTTGTAGTAATTCCAGCTGCCATCATCTACCTGCTTAGGTATGGCTTTATGTGACAACTTCCTTTATGACCCCAGGATGTGGGACATATAAGGATCCCATACCCCCAATGCTTATTGATGTTAATTGTGTACACTTATTTAGGCCTAAAATAATGAGGATTATTATAATGAAGACAAAACATAAATTCTGTAATATCTAGTTTTTGTAGCTTTAAGCTACATGCTCAGAAAAAAAAGCACTCCCTTTTTCATGAGTTGCAAACTAAAGCAGAAAATATAGTTTAAGAGGAACTTTTTAAAATTTGATTACTTTTTAGATAATCAAATATCCAAGTCAATGAGCACAAGAAATTGCAAACAGGATCTTCAATATCTGTCTTCCATAAAATATTATGTGGAAACAAACACAGATCCACAATGGACAGTACCTGTGGCTTACTGCTGTATAACTTCATACACATAATTATTAGCTATTATAGATAATTTCTAGAAACAATCAAGCCCCCAGAAAATATAGCATAAAATTCTGATGGAGCCCTGTTCAGGACCCTCTGATTGAGTATTATTTAGATAAGACTTGCTTCTTTCAGACTTTCACCTTTTAGTTATATGCTTAAGAGCAATTTAATGTTACTCCTTTGTTTTTTCTGGAGATTTTTGGATCCCAATTCCAGCATTCCCTCCCTCACTTTTATTTCAGAGAAATGAGCTTCATTCTCCAGTACAGATTTAGACAGTTTCCTTCTCCATTGACCTGATGTCCCGTTTTTTTCAGGCATTGCCTTTCTCTATTTTCACTAGAGACAAGCTTACCATGGGCCTTTTTCCAGCCTCCATATTAGCTTACATCTTTCATCAATCTCACATCTAAAGACAAGGCTTTTAATGAGAAGGTGTGGGGCTGAAGAAACTGCTTTGGGCTTTGCTTAAACGAATGCTTGTGTTCCTCCCTCCTTCCCCCATCCCCTATCCTAATCTTGAGGTTAGGATAACAAACTTGGTGAATTTTTGTTCTCTTTAGTCAAAAGTGTTATGACTCATAACTTCAATTTATTAGTATGTTTCAAAAAAAGTGGTGAAACAACTCAGAATAAGATAAATTCCAGACAATCTGATTCTTTTGGCATTTTGTTGTTGAAAATGGGGGTAAGCGAGGGATCAGATTTTCATATTTTCCAACCTAATAGAATACTATAAAGAAATTATGAAAAAGGTCTTAGGATTCTATCTCTGAGTAAGACAACTCTTTGAAACAGAAAATAATTTGGTATGACAAGAGAAGATGGTAAAAGAAATAATTTGAAAATGGCCAAATCCAGCTCGGACTGTGAAAAAAAATATTCTAGGAAATAAAATCATAGTGCAGGGGACTGATACAGAATACATCCGGCCCTTCTCCTCCAGAGCAGCAGAAGGGAGCACATGCAGATCACTCTGTTCTTCCTATTATATACCTGCATGAAGAAAGAATGAAACACATGGACCCATCCTGATTAGACTTACATACACTCATAAAACACGCATAAACAAGCACCTATTCTGATTAGAAATTCCACCACACACATACACAAACACATTTTCTTATTCATCATCATTTTAGCCACTGTCTATCCACTGCAAAATGAAAATGCATGTTTCCAATCAATACGGTCCTGAGCTGTCTTTTGCCAATTGGGCCCACAATACTTGCTGATGTCGTCGATCCATCTTCTTTTAGGTGTCTCATGGATGCTTTTTATCAATTGGGATCCATTCTATGACTGCTTTGGTCTACCTGCCATCAGTTCTTCTTGCTATGTGACCAGCTTTTCCTTATTATATAGAAGAAAATACAGACTTTCTGCTCCTGCCAGTAAAAAGGATTCAAAAAAATTCCAAAAGCTGTGTTGTACAGGCCTTTCCTACTTGTTCAGTCTTAAGTTTCTCAAGTTTCTACCAAGAATTATGACGAACTAAAGTTATTTGGGAACTCTTCAACATTGCCCAGAAATTAAATTGGATGAAAGACAGCATGGTTCCACAGATCAGTAAATGGTTTTTGATTATATGCTCTGCCCTCACACAGAGGAAAACAAGATTCCCTTTTTAAAAGTTTCATATAAGCACAGCTGAAAATCTTGGCTCTCCAAAGACCAATTTCTTGTTCAAGAATTATCAGGCAGAAGATTCACAGACACAAGACAACATTTTTTACTGTAGACAGAAATAAAGTAATAAAGCAGTATATACACTGAAAGTCTGCCTACTGCATTACAGTTGTAGCCTATTTATAGGTCTTTGTTCCAGAGCTGAGTCACACACAAGTAACTAAAAATCTCAAAAACAAGTTTGTCGTGGTAAAGTTGAATGATCTATGATGAAAGAAAGAGACATGAAACTGCAAAGTCTTTTTATCCAAATGTTAAATTAACTTTGCCAGCTAATAGCAACACTTGCTATGTAGGATTGTGCTTGCTTAAGACTTGGATGGGAGACTAAGAAACATTCTGCAAGAGAGCAAGGGCAAACCGCACCTCTGGTATTACCAGGAAAACTA